TAGTCTAATTAAAGTTTCTCTTATCGAAGTTCCTAACCTTCGGGCCAAATGTTGGGAAAAACTTGGCTCAGAACTTCATCAGTACGTTTTCCAATTAACGAAACAGATGATTTACGCAAGCCCTGGTAGTTTACGGCCAAATTGATATGTCGTCTGTCAGATAGCATGAGCGTTCTCATAGAGCATACACGTTGGATATTAAAAAAATTGGGCACCTCCGTCAGTCCATGATTTAGTAAACAAATCTTCGTGTCTAGTAGGATAAAGCGAGTCGTTCTCTACAGATGTTGCAACGGAGCCTGAAAGTATGCTTATTACGTTCACAGCGTGAGTCAGACTTGATTACACCGTCTGCCACATCCGTTTTGACAAAATATTCTAATACCGAAGGTACCGGAGCTCAATGCTATACAGACATGCATTTAGTTTTTTTTAAATATTGCAAACTGTACACCCTTTCTATAGAGATATAAAGTATCTTTTAACTGTTCTGGCCGGTTGACTAATCAAAACAACAGCGGAAAATATGATCAAGTTTCTTTTTGAATGATAATACGTTACAGTTTACACATGCGCTTAAGAGGGCATTCTAACTCCACAACGACTCTCATGCTTAACATTCTGAAGTACATCAGCCTGCAGTCCTGCACTATGTATCATAGCCCTCTAAATGCGACATAAGTATACCATAGACTTTACGTGTAATTCGATACACACCCATATTATTAGCGTGTCATAACAAGCACTACTGTTAGGAATTTAGTATTAGCGATTGATAGGTCCCTATTTATATATTGTATATTACCAACGCGAAACGTCACTTCAGTTCACGCTAATATTGTAGAGCCTACTTGATATGCATCATGTTTTATGAAAGCATGCCGGCGACTCGGCGAGTCGGCTGTGTATTTTACTAGTTCTTTTCTTTGCTCTTTTGAAAAATTTATATCCCCACAGCAGTAGTTGGAGTCCGGATGAACATCAGTGAGGCGAGTGAGTCCGTGGTTATTTTGAAACTGATAAATCTACTATGCGTACTCAGAATCAGTAAACAGACAGTGGGAGAGTCATGGATTAGCCCTCTAATCTTCTATTTCAAAAGTAAGTGCAAGAAGCACGCGTCAAGCAGCGTCATACATAGACTCCCATCGGATGGCGTCTACGACTTTAAAAGCTTAAACCCCTGCGCCCCGCGGCCTACGCCCTACGGTCATCAGTGATTGTTCCCCTTTCAACCCGGGTATTCGATTATTCGTATTTCATATATTCTTCAAATGCAATCTACTCTGTCATTGTAAAAGCCGCTGGGCCACGTGCCACAATACAGTAAAACAATATACAATTATACATCATCAATTTTCTGAAAATACTCAATACTGCCACAGTGCCATTGGCTCAGCAATCTGTGTACCGAATGAAATTCTAGAAAACAAACTGACGCAGAGGTGGACAAACTGGACATAGTTTTGTGAAAATCTGAATTTTGTATAAAAAAAATCAAAATATACTGCGTGTAGCAGTCTCTAGAGTAGAGTCTCTTGTTTGTTGTGCCTTGTGTCGCTTTGTTGTTGTGTGTGTGCCCGGGTGGCTAAAATAATAAGTGATTTTAGAGTTTGGACTACATACACAAGGAGTATGGATGAATGCATAGTAATTAGTGGCATTTAGTCATAAAGAGTCTTTTGTCTCAATGACCCGCCGAGGCCCGAGGGCCGTCGCAAACATCAAAATAACTACTCAATTCCCCTCCATATATGGAATTAATAGTTATGGATATTATTGGTTTGATACACTCTATATATAAAAAACACATAGCGAAACTCTCAAATTAATGCTAAACAAAAGTTTCTGTACCCAACCTCATTACGTTTTACGTTTTAATGTATTACTTTTTGACATATACGTTAAATATTTACTTAGGTTCGGTTCTGAATGCTTGATGAGGGTGCAATAGTTGGGTTCTAAGGTTCAATATGTATCACAATAATTGCCTGGTATCGTCCGATTATGTTTTATAATTGGACAAACCTATTCTTTGTGGCTTATTCGTTTTACCGTTGAATATCAAAACTCTATACGTTTACGTTCAGTGTATATGCTGAATCACCATAACCTAATGAGGTTTGTAACCTCTGAGACACTGTAGTTCAATTTTATCACCAAGCCTGCTCATACTTTCGATAACAATTGAGTATATGTAAGGTTACAACCGCGCTGATCCATCCAGTATACTCGACAGATATAGCAATTCGCGCATAAAGTTTCTCGACAGATATAGCAATTCGCGCATAAAGTTCGTTTTTGCTGCACATAATTCACGATGGCATCTCCTCCCGAAATAGAACAGCTGTTCCAGCTGGATCCTTACCTCAAGCCTATGGAAGATGCTATTTGTAAAAGGTAACTGGTGTTACACTGTATGTATGTGCTGTTTTTATTGTAGACAGGTGCAATCGTGTCATTTGACCAATTAGAACGGTAGCTTCTCTGTGTACGCCATATTTAACCATGCATGTAAGTACAGTTCAATGGAAGTAACTCCACCTCGACATGTCCGCGTCTCCCTGACTTGTGCTTCACTCTCTGATATTGCAACGCGCTAGCTTTTCAGAGTGTTCCCATATAGTCAGTGACCGAGTCAGATCGCATACATTTTCTCGTACATCATATCTCACTTTCCCCACCTATTTTCATAGGTACTCTAACTATGCGACTTACCGTAAACGCATCGAGGAGGCTGAGGGAAGTTTAGATCAGGTATGGATTTAACGATTTAATTCTCTTGTCTAATCTATTGTTGTAGACTGTTGTAAATGTGCATGTCTGTGTATGTATACATCTTTTTTTTGGATGCGTTTTATGTGAGCCCAATCAGCATCAATTGTACAAATGACTACTTTGTTATCCCCACTATTCGAGGCTCTCGATGTGCTTGGTCTTGAGTATATGTAACTAGCTGTAAATACTGAATGACTATTATTTTGTGTGTGTAAACGTTTTTGATACAGTTTACTATCACCACCTAAAAAAGCATACTACCGGCGCTTAGTATACGTAAGCATATACATGTCTGATGCAATTCGTTGTTCTTCTAGCTCCTGGCAATCACAAACATATCTATACGCATATATATAAATACATATGTACGTGTGTACACGTAAACATGTGTGAGAGAGTGTGTGTTTGTACACACACATACGCAGATTTGTATCCATGCATGTGTTTATATACATAGAGTTTTTTGTATTTGGTTGTGCTTTACATGACAAGCGGTTTTATATTGCACTCAAATTGTAGTAGCTATCTCGTTTGGTCGCATTAGGGCAGTTCACGCAAACATAATCTAGAAGTGGATGTTTTGCGCATTGTATATAATATGATAAATTAGCACCTCGCCAGCATTTTTCTTCTTGATATTTTTAATAACTAACGATGAATATAACACACACACACACACATATATATATATATATATATATTATGAATATACCTGCAATGTGTACTTGTATCAATGCCTTATGTCTATTTATATCGGCTATAGGTGAAAATATTGGTTCACGGCGTTTCTCGATACTGATATTCGATCATCTATAGAGTATCATTATTCTAAATATAGTATAAATTTGTGTATTGTTACGGTCCGCGGGTATCATACTGAGGATTTTCATCTATTGCCTTATGCGATACCCCCAATATGTAGAATCTCAAATATTGATATATTAAGTATGTATATATTATATTAAATGTATTAGCTCTCTCCAATGTATGTGTGGATTTGTGTTCTCTCATCAAGGTTATGAGTGATGGTATTTGTCGGAATTTAATGGTGCCGTGATAGCGTCAATGTCCATAAGTTTTTATGGCATATATTGCACATCAAATTGGAAGGGTAGATCATATCACAATCAAATACTTGCAAGCAAATATATTTATATATTTATATATTTATATATATATATATATATATATTGTAATATTTATACCATTGGAGAAAGATATCGTAACATGCGGATGTGAAATTTATTTACACAAATATACGTCCCCAAAGTTGTTTCCATATAGTGCAATGCGCATTGAGTGAATACACGCTCATACAAAAGCAACGTTCCAATAAGAAATTCATAAGCGAAATGAGGTTAGAGAGTGTACACATATACCCACTTTCAGCATGACACCTCGAAGCTGTATATTTGTATATCATTGTACTAATTGATGAATGAACTGATATGTAGTGGCACCAACCGGTGTCATGCATTACTAGTGCATTGAAGGGCGTGCAATCACTACGCTATTCAACTTGAAAAGACCCTCCAACAGACGCACACTATAGGAATAGCATCATATACGTATAGTTCACCAGAGAAACATGAACACATGTCTTGTTTGCTATAGAAATATCATCACATATGTATAGTTTACTACACAAATATCATCACATATGTATAGTTTACTATACAAATATTATCACATATGCATAGTTTACTATACAAATATCATCACATATGTATAGTTTACTATACGAATATCATCACATACGTATAATTCACTAGAGAAACCTTAACATATGTAGAGTTCATTATAGAAATATCATCGTATATGTATAGTTCAACGGAGACACCTGAACATATGTAGAGTTCACTATAGAAATATCATCACATGTGTATAATTTTACATAGCTGTTTAATCACGTGTATAGTTTACCGTAGAACTCTTATCACTTGTGTTTAGTTAACAAACCAGTACTCCTCGATTAGGCTAGTGTATGTGCAGCACAGACACTGACTTAATGCACCGCGGAGACTGGTGCCATTCTCGAATGGTTGCAAGAGCGTACGCAATCACAGTGCAGAAGCGTATGTTGTAAATACCTACGTCGCACCCGAATAGGCTCACCAGATCATGCACCGAGAATAAGCGAACAAGTAGAAACCCCCTAAACCCCTAAAAAAAACCCCCCTCCAAACCCTTCCATTCACAAATGCCATATCATAAAAGTATGCAAGTCGTTCACAAATAGCCTAAGCCAATAGTATCCAGTTTGTACACAAACCATATCTTTGACAGTATGCAATCATTGCGCGAGTGCACTTCGTATGATATTCAACAGTACGTAGCGAAACCGCAGATGGGCTTCCGTGGCTCGATATAGTCACTCTACACATACACACAATGCCATATATTCGCGCTGTATACAATCTGTCAATACGGTTGACTAGGGTATGGGACCAATGTATTACACGAGAACGCCGAGGGTATCTACCATCCTCAGTGCAAATACAGACACGCATGGATATCTACTTCACCATATAGTTTACCGAGGGTATAGGACAGTGGGATCTGCGAGGTCCCGAGCCCGAGGCTATATGTAAATACACGCATTCCTTAGCATATGTATTGTACCTGATCTGGCTCTCCCTGTAACAGTTTACCAAAGGGTACGAGACTATGGGATTCCACGAGACGCCCGAAGGTATCTACTACCGTGAATGGGCCCCGGGGGCCACGCAAGCGTGGCTAATCGGAGAGTTCTGTGATTGGGAGCGTAAGCACGAAATGAAGAAACTGGAGCACGGCAAGTGGGAACTGTTCCTACCCAACAACGAGGATGGATCCAGAGCCATCAAACACATGTCACATGTAAAGGTATGTGTTTATTGATGGGGCTCCGGTTGTTTTGTTTGCTATTTGAGGAGGGGGTGGGTGGGGGTTTTTGTTTGTCTTTGGCTTGAGTAGTGTGACTCTCCATGGCTCAATTAGAGCGATGAGCGAATCTGTTTGTGTTTGCTTAGATGCCGTCCTGAAGGTGGATGCTGCAGTATAATATATTATAATATAAATGTATATATTATATTATATAAATGTATATATATATATATATAATATGCATGTGTATATATATATGTATATATATTAGTATGTGCGGGGTTTGGATTTGTTTGACCTAGGTGTGCGTACTGATAAGTACTAATTCTACTACTGCCTACTTGTACTGGTATGTCATTGTCCTTCTGAAGATCGTTGTCCGTACTAATGAATCTTGCTATTGAACTCTTAGTAATCTGTGACCTTGTATTTGCTGCTTCGGACAAGATATGTCGATGTATTCGTATACTCGTATAATTATTTTTTTCATCCCTTCTCTGGTTTTCAAATTTGGTGTAGTCGATCAACAAGTGTAACATATTCGACCACCATTAAACTACCATATTCAAATCCCTACGTGTAAGGTATCCTTCGACAGCACCAGCGGTGAGCGCTGCGACCGCATTCCTCCGTGGATCAACTACGCGGTGATGGAGAAAACCAAGCCTGTGTACATCGGTGTGTACTATATGCCGGAGAAGAGCTTCGAATGGAAGAACGAACGCCCCAAGAACACCCAAGGACTGCGTATTTACGAGGCGCACGTGGGCATCTCCTCCAAGGAGCCCACAATCGCCTCGTACCGCCACTTTGCGGACGATATCATCCCGCGCATTGCCGAGAACGGGTACAACGCCATCCAGTTGATGGCTGTGATGGAGCACGCTTACTACGGAAGTTTCGGATACCAGGTATATATATATATATATATATTAATGGGAACGTTGAAGTAGTCTATAGTGAGTCCTAGACCTTGACCGCATTGACAACCGGTGGTAGTTCACAATGTGGCACCCAGTATATGGTTCGTTGTCAGCCTGTTCAGAGTGGCTACTTCGCCTATCTTTTTGTTTAACTACTTGTTCGGATGTCAGCACGACCTAGTAGAATATGTACTACGACTGCAAAAGCGGGCCGTGATGTTTCTTTATACTTATCGTAAGTTCTGTATCTGTGAATCAGCTGTTACTCCCAACCAGCCAGTGTACACGTTCGGAAACCGAATACGCACGCATTCGCCATTCGACTCACCGATGACTCACTCCCGTTCCATCTCAGGTGACATCGTTCTTCGCCACATCGTCGCGCTTCGGTGAACCCGACGATCTCAAATACCTCATTGACAAGGCCCACGGCTACGGCATTCTGATGTTGCTAGACATCGTGCACTCGCACGCGTCTATGAACGTAGACGACGGTCTGAACCGATTCGATGGCACGGACCACTGCTACTTCCACGAGGGTGAACGCGGCAATCACTCGCTGTGGGGCTCGCGCCTGTTCAACTACGGCCACTGGGAGGTGATGCGCTTTCTGCTGTCTAACCTGCGATGGTGGGTGGAGGAGTACAGGTTCGATGGCTTCCGCTTCGACGGGGTCACGTCTATGATGTACAAACACCACGGAATGGGTGTTGGGTTCAGCGGCGACTACAACGAGTACTTTGGGGACGATGTCGACGGAGAGAGTTTTTGCTACATGCAGATGGCGAATGCCATGCTGCATGAGCTGTACCCTGACCACATGATCACCATCGCCGAGGATGTGTCTGGTATGCCAGCGCTCTCGCTGCCTGTGGCTATGGGGGGCGGTGGTTTCGACTACCGACTGAGTATGGCTATCCCGGATAAGTGGATCGAGATTCTCAAGGAACTCTCCGATGAGGAGTGGGATATTGGTAACATTGTGCACACCCTAACCAACCGTCGACACGGTGAGAAGAGCATTGCGTACGCCGAGTCACACGACCAGGCGCTTGTCGGTGATAAGACGATTGCTTTCTGGTTGATGGACAAGGAGATGTACACGCACATGTCCGATCTCGCGCCCAAGTCGCTGATCGTAGACCGAGGCATTGCTCTGCACAAGATGATCCGCTTCCTGACATACACTCTGGGTGGCGAGGGCTACCTCAACTTTATCGGAAACGAGTTTGGTCACCCGGAGTGGCTTGATTTTCCGCGAGCAGGCAACAACGAGTCCTTCCAGTACGCCCGCAGACAGTGGAATGTGGTGGACGATCCTCTGTTGAAGTACAAATACCTCAACAAGTGGGACGCGGCTATGCACGCGACGTGTAACAATTACGACTGGTTGAACGCCCCCCAGGCGTACGTATCCCTTAAACACGAGGGAGACAAGCTCATCATCTTTGAGCGTGCGGGTCTGCTGTTTGTGTTCAACTTCCACCACAGCAACTCATTCCCCGACTACAAAGTGGGTACGTCGCTGAAGGGCAAACTCAAAGTGGTGCTGTCCTCGGATGATCCAGAGTTTGGTGGCTTCAACCGAGTAGATAAGTCGTCCGAGTTCTGGGTCAAAGAGGGCGACGGCTGGCACGACAGACCTAATTCTACCATGGTATGTCGAGCTGCTCAATTTTCACTTGCTCTGTGTGAAGTATTCAAGTTATGATTGCTGTCGTGACTCGTTTATTGATCGTTTTGATTGACGTGGAGATTTATTTTGCAATGTACCCTATCTTCTTGTTTGCCTATAGCATCGCCTTTCTACCCATGAGATATTTGTTCTTTTCATTTACTTTTTGTGTCACGTTCCCAATTGGTACTGCAGATTTATATCCCGAACCGTGTCTGCTTGGCGTTTGCTGCCGAGTAATCGTGTGCCCAACACGGAAAACATTTATACCATGAGGATGTAGTTCCAAGACATTTATACCATGAGGATGTAGTTTACGACATTTATACCATGAGGATGTAGTTTAAGAGGATCCGACTGATGAATTCGATTTCAGCGAGACACCGTCGGGCCAGAATTGGCCCCATAATTAAAATGATATTAGCTAAGCCAGTGAAGTAGCGCTTACGAATTTGTCAACTTCTTCGGCTTATCAGTGTGTGATCTAACATCATGTATGCCAGTGCATCCAGCTCTAGTGTGTATGTGAGGTTTGTCTTATTGATTTACATATATCCGCATCGTTCATGTTGAAGAGTTGCCATATGGCAGCAGCTGGTACTGGTTTCGACGGTTTAGTCGTTATCACACACCTGACAGGATGCTATAAACAATCGCAAACGCGTTTGGTCGTAACTATATAGTATGAGATATATGTTTCTATGAGATGTGGGATTTGCTACATAAGGGTTACGCGTCTTGTTATCTCGCATTCAGCTTTGATGAATTTGTATTGATACAAGGAGTGGCTCTGGCTACTATAGTAAACCTATTTGCTGCAAATCACGTTATATGAAAATTACAACGTATTAAATGGGAATACAATACTTCTTACAACAAAAGAAATGTTCCTACTATACTATTTTCTTCTTCATTGTCAAGAGTCTGTTTCTTTCATTGCCTGCCACTTCCATTATCCTTGCTCAATTTAAACCTAAAAATCGATACGGTTTTCGTATACATCAGAGACCCTTGCATTCGTCTCGCAGACGAACTGTGTGCATTCCTCGAGCTCGCCACATATTCCGTACCACTGACAACATGCCCTGTCCTAGTAGAGAAACAAGGTTACGCTCGTGTTCCTCTGTGCAAGTGTTTTGCCCTGTCCTCATAGAGAAACGGGGTTACGCTCGTGTTCCTCTGTGCAAGTGTTTTGCCCTGTCCTCATAGAGAAACGGGGTTACGCTCGTGTTCCTCTGTGCAGGTATTTGATACTTGTACTCGGGGGTTGAATGGGCACCGACGGCAACGGCAGCAGTGGCGATTATAGCCGTGGAAAAGGACACTGGTGCTTCTGGTTTATACGAGAACAGTATCGATTTCTAATTCTAAATGGGCAGATGATGTATTTGCTTGTGCAGATCTCC